TGGCTCTTCGGGCATCCAAGAGGCAGAGATGATGATTTTCAGCTGTGAGAGCACCCAGCCCCATCCCCCCACTGGCATGGATCATGCTCCTTTCAGGGAGGGGGGCACCAGGCGTGACCGCAGGCCACCTGAGTCCATGTCCTTTAGGACCCTGTGTGCCCAGAGCTCCTTTGGGAGTCGCAGTGAGGGAGAAGAGGGCCTCCTGGAGGAGGTGGCCTTTGAGCTGGGCCCTGAAAGGGGGGCGAGAGCTTCCTGGAGGAGGTGGCCTTTGAGCTGGGCCCTGAAAGGGGGGCGAGAGCTTCCTGGAGGAGGTGGCCTTTGAGCTGGGTCCTGGAAGGGGGGCGAGAGCTTCCTGGAGGGAGACACAGGCTGCTGGGGCACCTGGGTGGGGCTGGGGGGCTGGGGGGCTGGGGTCCCAGCACTCAGAGTCCCGAGTACCTTGATACCAAGGCATTGTTTTCCCCAAGGATCTTTCATCCATGAATTCCACCTGCTCCCTCCCTCTCCTACACTCCAAGCCCTGAACGAAGAGTCCCCACTTCTAACAGAAGCAAAGCACGAGTTGGAATATTTCGTTTCACTTAAAAAAAAAAAAACCCAAGTATCAGTTATTATTGAATGAGACAGTATTCTTGGGTATGAAAGCTGACTTACAATTTTCTTATTCTGCCATAGACTTTTCAAAAGTCAGCCCAATTTTATATAATTTTTCTTGTGAACCTGATTTTTATATTTAGGTTTGTTTCCCTATATTTCCTTGCAGTTTTTCTTTCTTTCTTTTTTTTCAGAGGTGGTTATGGATCGTGGGTGGTGAGGGAAGGAGAGTGGAATGGGAGAGATGGAGGATCCAGCTCTGCCCGGTTCTGGGGCTCCTCATCCATGGCTGGGAGATAACACCACTCACTGTGCAAAGGGTGCTCCCGCTCCTTCAGGGTGCTCCCGCTCCTGCAGAGTGCTCCCGCTCCTTCAGGGTGCTCCCGCTCCTGCAGAGTGCTCCCGCTCCTGCAGAGTGCTCCCTCTCCTGCAGGGTGCTCCCGCTCCTGCAGAGTGCTCCGTCTCCTTCAGGGTGCTCCCGCTCCTGCAGGGTGCTCCCGCTCCTGCAGAGTGAATGAGTTAAGGAAGGTGACTCTTCCCTGGCCTAGTGTGTGCCCTCAGTAGACTGTGGTTGTGGCCGCCACCATCATCTGTTATTATTACTGTTATTATTGGTTGGTGGGAACTTCAGAGAAGCTCACCACATGACACATGGCCTCTGAGAAAAAGATGAATGGCTTTCCCCCGGCTTCCTGATTCTGGACGCGGTCCCAGGGGAGCCGCGGGCTGGTGGCTGCAGCGGCTTCTGCAGTCGTCTGCGTGCCCGGCAGAGGGCGCGCTTGCATTTTTGGTCTCTGACTGGCGGCCCACGGAGGCTCCTTAGCAAGTGGGCTGTGGGCTTTAACTGGCGTCTCAGCCCCTTGAACTCTTTGCTGGCCACACCATCTGAGATCCTCTTCAAAAGCAAACCTACCTGGCAGATGGAGGGCCTCTAGCCTCCTCCAACAGCAGGGTTTCATGCCTCTGTGGGTCCAAGCCTGAGATATTTGAGGGGCTGGGTGCTGGGAGTGGGTTATGCCTTGACCTGGTCCTGCTCCCGATGTTCAGGTCAGAGCCGGGACCCTGGAAGCTAGGAAGAGTCTGCTTCAAAAATAATGTTTTCTTCTCTTTTACGGCTGAGTAATATCCCAAATATGTTTTCATTTAATTATGTTTATTGGTTTATGACATTGTATGTTTCTTGTGCAGTGTTAAATGTCTGCTTCTGTGCAAAGCAAGGCATGCTCACCTCCAGAAGTTTGGTTTCCATCTGTCCCTGCGCAGTTGACCCCTTTACCATTTCCCCTCCTCCCACTGCCCTTCCCCTTCTGGTGACCACTACCCTCATTCTCTGTATCTGCATGTCTGCTTTTGTCTGGTTTGTGCATTTATTTTGTTTAAAATATTTATTTTAAAATATCTTACTGAAGTCGTTGATGTACAAAGTGCTTGTTTTGGGTGTACCGCAGAGTGATTCGGGTTCTGTGAACAGTGCGGCTGTGAACAGTGGGGGACGTGTTTCTTTCTGAATTAGGGTTTTGTCCAGATACGTGCCCAGGAGTGGGATTGCTGGGTCACATGGTAGCTTTATTTTCAGTTTTCTAAGGAACTTCCACATTGTTGTCTGTACTGCTTGCACCAGTTTGCATTCCCACTAGCAGTGTAGGAGGGTTTCCTTTTCTCCACACCCTCTCCAGTATGTATTATCTTTGGACTTTTTGATGATGGCCATTCTGGCCGGTGTAAAGTGGATACCTCATTGTAGTTTTGATTTGCATTTCTCTAATAATTAGTGATGTTGAGCATCTTTTCATATGCCTGTTGATCATCTGTATGTCTTCTTTGGAGAAATATTTATTCAGCTCTGCCCATTTTTTGACTGGTTTTTTTTTTTTTTTTTTTGTGAAACCCTGGGCAGTACTAAATAGAATCCAAGCAACTAAAATGATCAGGTTGGTTCATCATTTCCTGTTTCCTAATCCAGGATATTGAGCTGTATGAGCTGTTTGTGTATTTTGGAAATTAATTCCTTTGTTGATTGCATCATTTACAAATATTTTCTCCCATTCTGTAGGTTGTCTTTTTGTTTAGTTTATGATTTCCTTTGCTGTGCAAAAGCTTTTAAGTTTAATTAGGTTCCACACCACATTTTTTTTTAATCTATTCATCCATCAATGGACACTTAGGTTGCTTCTGTTCCTGTTTTTAAGGCTGAATAATGTCCCATTGTAGGGAGAGACCACATTTTGCTAATCCATTGTCCGTTGATGGACATCTGGGCTGTTTCCACCTTTCAGCTGCTGTGAGTGGTGCTCTGTGAACAGGCATGGAGTATCTGAATACCTGTTCTAAACGCTTTTGGCTATACACCTAGGAGTAGAGTTGCTAAATATAGTCTCTAAAGGGAGTATTTTTTTTTTTGGTTACTTTTTTCTGCTCTTAGAGAACATTCTTAGGCAAGCTGTAAAGTCTTGCCTTTTACTTTCCCGCTGACGTCGGGGTGGTCACCACTGTGTGTCGTGGATCATTTCCAGCACGTGCAGGGCCCCCTGCCCCCAGCCAGGATGCATCTAGGCCCCATCTGAGGGTCTCCTGATGGCAGCCTCTCAAGTCTTTGTGGGACTAAAGGAGAAGCACATGGGGCCGCCCACGCTCAGTGTCCTCATCTGTAAGATGGGGATAATAACACGTCATTGGGTCCCACTGGATTCTTATAACATGGAGGGAGCAGGGCCCAGGGGGTGCAGCCCAGGGCTGGGGCGGGGTGGGGAAGCCCAGCGGGAGTCTGGACCAGGGTTTCCAGGAGACCCCCCTCCCATCCGCCAGGCACTCCTGAGCTATAACACGGGCCCAGCGAAAGGTGAAATGTCCGTCCAGCACAAGCAGGCGGAGCGGGCACCGGGTTGGTACGAGCGGGAAGGTCCCTGAGGCTGGGTGGGCTCTGCTCTCAGCTGGCACCCCCTACCCCATCCGTCCCAGCCCTCCCAGGAAGGGGCTCACCAGGCTCTCCCCGGCAGGAGGGGTCCTCCCTCTTAATGACCACGAGCTGTCATTAGAAATCTGTGGCTTGTGAGCTTGCATATTTTTTAAAATATATTTTTAGGTCTCCTTTCCCTCTTAAGAACAAACGATGAAGTGAAACCCAAAGGGAATGTTTTGGGAAATGAATAATAATAATAATAATAATAATAAACCTATGAGGAAATTGCTCTGTCATTAAATAAAACACCAAGCCTGCCAGGTTTTCCTCCAGAGATCATAGTGCCAAACCGGTGACTGAGCAAGGTGCTTCCAGGCGCCTCCGAGAGGGGCCAGGGCTCAGGCCGTCGCGCCCCCGGCCGGGACAGGGAGCCTCGGGTCCTCATCTGTGAGCTGCAGTAGAGGTTTTGTGGACCGAACCCCAGGGGGAGGGTAGGAAGGGGCCTCCGTCTGCCCGGGATGGCCACGCTTGCTGGGCCGTGGTTCAGCTTGGTGCTTTGTGCGGGGCGGTGCTGACCTCTGCCCATCTGCGAGAGGCGCGTCCGTGGCCTTTATTTGTGCATCTGTGCAATGGAGCCTGCGGGTGGCTCTTGTGGCAGGAACCTTGCTGTGATGGGGCAAGGTGGATGGGGCGGGTGGGGGCTGTGAGACAGGGCTCGGTGGTGGGGGGCCGCGGCCCGGCTGGCCGCTCACTGCCCCCCTCGTGTCCCTGCCCGCCCTCTCCTCAAGTCCATTCTCTTCTCTCCTCCCTCCCCTCCAGCTCTGGAGCCTCGTGACTCCTGCGGTAGACACACAGATGGTTGGTTTTGTCTTATTTTGTTTGGCCTGGACCGCGTTTTAAAATGTTTCATTAGATGCTAATTAGATTCCATATTTTCAGTATCCAGTATTTCCAGCTTCTCTTTAAAAACTGGTCGCCCTGGCCTGCAGCCCTGGTCCCGGGGCTTGGGGAACAGCTGCTCTTTCTGGGGACTTGGGTCTCCAGCTGGCCGCCTGCCACCCACAGGCCTGGTTTCACCTCCCCTCCGACAGACCTGGTGGCCTGTGAGAGAAACTGTGTGAGATGCAGGGGCCTGTGAATTGCAGAGTGCTTTGTTATCCACCCCAAACTGCTCTTCATTATTTCTAGTCATGCTGAGGTGTAGGACATGTTGAGTGTTAATCCATTGCAATCAAGACACTCAATGAAGCCAGATTATTGGGACAGAGGTGGGAGTGGCTGACTGGAAACTGGACTCAGACCTGGGGGTGGAATGAAAGCCCCCGTTTCTCAGGACAGTCGCCTCTGTGGCTGGGCTCATCCTCATGGTGGTGGAATGACTTCCGGGGCTCCGGACATCATACTCTGGCTCCTTTCTGGCAGGAAAGAGCGAAAGGCTTATTGGTCCAGGGCTTGGCCAGTGGACCCAAGCAGAACCCACAAGAAACGTCATCCCCTTTTGGGCAGAATGGGGGTCCTGCACCTTGGCCCAGACCCCCGTGGTGGGACCCGGGGGATATTCGGGCTCCGTTACATAGTGAGAAGGGTGTCTTGACCCACAGCTGTCACAGAGATGGCCCTTCCAGATGAGAGGATGAACGCAGAAAAGCTTTGTAGGCTGTGGCGTGCTGTGGAGGCGCCCCTCACTCGCCTCTACAGAGGAGAAAGTCAAGGCTTAGCGTCTGAGTGGCTTCCCAGCATTGTGGTTGGTGAAACAGGAGATGGAGCCAGATGTGGTCCTTGGGTCTTCCTGATCTCTATCCAGGAACACCAGGAGGACCCTTCCTACCCACTCTCACCACCCCACCCCTGCCCCCTACAGGGCCTGTGATTCATTCTCCTTTTTGGTGTCTGCAGACACCTGGGGCTCAGGAATCCTGGGGAGCCTGTACGGGAGCTGGAGTGAGGCCGGTGCTGGGAGGATGGATGAGTGGGATGCTGGTCGCAGCTGAAGTCGGGGTGGGGGGGCACCAGAAAACACAAGGGGCTGAGGCCAGCGCCCTTCTCTAGCCCATCCCTCTCCAAAGCCTCCCTGAGTCATTCTTTAATAGAATTTGTGCCTCTTTTAATTCCTACAGGCACAGAATCCTTGCATGTCCTTTATAAATATTTCATTCTCTTCCAGCAGCAACTTTCTTAACGTCCACACGCCTGGGTGGCCGCCTCCTTCCCTGGGCTGTGCCTCCGGCAGACCGCTCTCACCTGGCGCCTGGCCTTGATGGCCGCCCCCGCTTGGAGTGGCAGAGCGCCCCGGGAGCTTGGGGTCTCGGTGAACTCGACCAAGGAGAACGAGGTGGCCTGGGCAGGGAGGGAGGGGACTGCCCATGGTCCCTGAAGGGCAGAGTCTAACCCAGCCCGTCCTGATCCCCGGGGGCCAGTCTTGTTCCCCCCCGCCACCCACAGTGTCCTGGAGGGGGATTCAGAGCCAGGTTGGTCATTTCTGGCCAAGGGATCCTGGCAGGCTTCACGGAGGGGCACTCCACAGTGGGGGAAGCTTTGCAAATGGTGAAGGGCTGCAAAAGTCTGAAGAGGTCGTTTACGGCCAGCTGTTGATGGGCTTAGATTTCGGGGGAGCCATGGGCAGTCCTGGAGTGTCAGGAGTGAGGCTGGTCTGCGAACCCCGTTGCCTTATACTTTTGTCAGTGAGGACAGCCCGCTGGACGGTCACGGCATTTTAGGGAATCTCAGCCCAGAGCAGGAGCCAGGCCCGGGAACTTCTCAAACCTGGCGGCTGCCACGCTTCTGGGGAATCTAGCAGGAAGTCAGGGGTGGGGCCACAGGGCGTTTTTCTGGGAGTGCTGCCTGTCACCTCAGTGGGCTCTTTGGGGCGCCCCCAACCCAATAGAAACCATCAGTTTCATTATCCTCCTTGCCCGCCTGGCTCCCTTGCGGGGACAGAGCTTATTCATTTGTTTTATTTGTTAGCCTGCTGCAGCCCTGAGATGCAGGCCTCTTCTCTGCAAAACCTCTCCCAGGACAGATCAAAGAGACCCACTAAGTATATTAAAGGGGCCGTGAAAATCAGGCTGGATGATGCAGTGTCTCAGGCAAAGCTGTCCCCGGCTGTGCCGGGCTCGGGATAGGCCAGGGCCTCAAGGTAGGCCTGGAAGATGGAGGTCCTGTGTGCAGGGATGCTGCCTTCTAAATTCTGAGTGACTGCCCCGTGCCAGGCTCTGGGATGTGCCGGGGCGGGCCAGGAGTGGGCTTCTGCCCACCTGGGAGCTGCATTCTGGTGAGAAGGCAGTGGAAGAGAGAAGGGCAGCGGAAAGAGAAGGGCAGGAGGATCTCCGTCCCCACCCAGAGGCCCAGCCCCATGGTGGCTGCAGCAGGCAGAATTCCGAAGGAGACGTGTGGTCCAGGTGGTGGTCCTGCCCTGGGAGCTCCAAGGCCCCTGGCCCAGGCTCGGGGATGGGAGGAGATGCAGAAGGAAGCAGCTGAGAAGGCTGGCGGTGCGGGCAAGCCACGGGGCAGCTCTGTTCTGTCCAGGCATGGCTGGCTGAGGACCCGACACGGGTGCCCACGTGTGGGAGGCGTGCCCGGCGTCCGCGTTTCGTCCTGGGCGGGGGCTCAGGTCCGGGTGCCCTGGCCCGAAGGCTGCAGAGCGCAGGTCTGCGTGAAGGTACGGAGAAGGGCCGTGAACCAGCATCAGTTCTGGGGCGTCGGTCCACTTGTGCTGCAATGACAGAATGCCAGACTGCGGGGCTCACAGAGCAGGTGGGTCTCGGAGTTCTGGAGGCTGGAAGTCCGAGATCCAGGTGACAGAGGGTTCAGTGCCTGGGGGGTAGGGTGGGCTCTCATCCTGCCTGCTGACGGCCACCTTCTCGCCAAGTCCTCACGTGACAGAGGAGCGCTGGCTCCTTCATCTCCTTATTGGGGGACCAGTCCCATCAGAGGGGCCCGCGTTCATGGCCTCATGTAAACCTCATCCCAGAGGCTCCATCCTGAATGTCCTCTCCCTGGGGAACTGCAGGAACGTTCAGTCCGCGGCAGGGACCTGATGCCCTGGTAAGCGGTCAGGTCCCCCTGCCTCTCTGTCCCTCTCCGTTCCTCCCCGTCCTCGGCCCCATTTCACAGGCAAGGAAACAGAGGTGTCTTTCTCGGACGCTCAGGAGTCCAGATAGTTCTTCGAGGTGGGACTTGCTATCTGAACAGTTCTACCTCCTCTCTGGGGTTGCAGGTCAGGAAGCCCGTGCAAGTGTGGAGCTGGGCACTGCAACTTCTGTGGGCCCCACTCTGCCCATCCGGTTAGTGGGGAGGTCGGCCGGGCAAAGTGCAGGTTCTTCTCCAGGCTGAATCCCCGCGTTCCTCTTGACACATAGCCCTGCAGCTCTTGCACGCTCCACCCCCACCCCTGGGTTCAGCCTCTAGGTGCTCTCCTGGGGCGAGGTGCATGGGCTGGGCTGTGAAGCGGAGCTCGAGGGCCTTCCGTTCTCCTGAACCTCCGTCACCGCCCATGTCCACCTGCCCTGCCCTCAGTGCTCCTGGAGGGGGAGCCAGGCTCCTCGGGCCCCAAGCGGATGCCCATTGTCTCTGCCCTTGGCCTGGTCCTCGGCTCTGCCACAGGACCCTGGGCCCAGAGGGAGGGCCTGATTGGTGAGAGCAGGACAAGACAGGAAGCGCTGAGTAACGTCCAAATTCCAGTGAAGACAGCGGCCTGGGAGAACTCCACACACCTCTCCTCCTGGCGGGCTCCTATCCATCCAGCAGTGACCCTGCACTGATGCCCCAGTCTGAGCAGGGAGCCTCCTCCATGCTTCTACCACATCCAGCATGGGCTCCGGGGTAGAACTTTCCACCAGGCAAAGCTGATGATGCTCAGATTCTGACACTGTGCTCAGCCTCCCAGTTTTGTGTCTTGTGTTCACCAGATCCTCCCACGACCCACACAGGGCCTGGTGGAGAGGATGCTGGCCAGCGTTGAGCTGAGGCCCCTCTTGCACCCTCCCTGGGCCCTCCACACCAGCCCCACTGCTCCAGTGAGCTAAGCTGGGTCTCAGTCCTGGGGTCACTCTGGCAAGGGCTCCACCTCCTGTCATGGCCCCGAGGCACCTGAATTTGATTCAGAGTCTGTGTCCCCGTCAACTCCAGCTTTTGGCCGGGACCTGGGAGCACCTCTGGAGGTGGGCCTCCCCCCGACCCTGCTTCGCCCACCTGTCTCCTGGTCGGTGACAGTGTCCTGGGAGCCGCAAGGCGAGGAGCCAGCAGGGGCTGGCGGGCGAGTGAACAGGGATGGGGCATTGCCTGAAATGCACTCCGGGCTGACTCCCTGTGCTTGGACCCTGAACTGCCGTCCTGGAGCTCACGGAGCAGGAATCAGAGCTGCAGTGTGTGCACACTGGGGGTGGCTTTGCAGGCTGTCACTGGTCCCCACAGCTGTCCTCACACCCAGGGGCCTGGCTCCTTAGGACCACAAGCATGTCTGAGTCTCAGGCTCTGCATCCGTGGAGAGTCAGCAGTGAGGGGGCTGCAGGGGTGAGTGCAGAGGGACAGTGAGAGCCGCTGTGTCCCCTGCATGCAGGGAGCTTCGTACCCAGGGGCCTGTGGCCTTCGCGTGCCCCAGCCTGAGGAGGTCTGGGTATCAGTCATGCTGGTCACTGCTGGGCTCCCGCAAGGCTGGGGAGGGCTGACCCATCTCTTGTGGAGTGGCTGTGACCTGGTCTTATTTGTCCCCTTCCAGCTGCATTTCCCATATCTGTCCGGTGACGTGAGTGAGTCTTCCGAGGTCACAGAGCAGGAGCCCAGAGGCTTCTGCCTGGGGCTGGGGTTTCAGAGTCTCTCCTGGGCCCCATGCACACCTCCTGAAACCCATATGGATCAATTTTAGAAGTCTCTTTGATGAAAGGATGAACAGTTTACGATGATGGAAGGATGAACAGTTTACGATGATGGAAGGATGAACAGTTTACGAAGATGGAAGGATGAACAGTATGGCTCTAGGTGGGATTCCTGAGGTTATGTTGGTGGAGGAGAAAGTGGCTCCCAGGGCTTGGGGAAGCCTAGAGCTTAGAGGCTCTAGGGGGAGTGTGGGGGCATGGGGGAGCCTAGAGTCTTAGAGGGCAAAGCTGGACAGAGGTGTGGCTCTGAGCTCATGGGCTTGGGCCTCACAGGTGGGGTGGAAGGTGACCGAGGAGAGCACGCACCAGCCTGGGAGTCCTCGGTGGCATTGTGACTCCCACGCCCTCCACCGAGGGGAGCTCTGGCTGTGGGCTGGCTGGCGGCCCTAAGATACCAGGGGAAGACGAAAAGCCCCTGCGGGCCCCCCGGACCAAGCACAGGTAGTGTGCATAGTCAAGGCTCAGGGTGAGTCTGGATAACATATGACTAGATGCTTGAATCCAGCTCTGCCTAAGGAGGCCAGGCTGCCTTCATTCACTCACAGATTAGAAAAAAAAAGACAGTCTTTTAGGATTTGAGTTGTCACATAGGTTTTGTGATGGCATTGAGTATTTGTAGCTGGTTCTCCTTTTGGGTTTTCTATCCTGTTGCATTGAGCTATCGGTCTGTTTTTGTGCCAGTGCCATACTGTTTTGATTACTGTAGCCTTGTAGTATAGTCTGAAGTCAGGGAGCCTGATTCCTCCTAGTCCATGTTTCTTTCTCAAGATTGCCTTGTCTATTCACTCAATAGTGAAAGGCCTCAGAGACCTGTAGGGCACTTACCAGGTGTCCTAGAAGAAAGAGAATAAGTCAAAAGAAACAGAAGAAATAATAGGCAAAACTCATCAAATTTGGTGAAAGACACAAATTTACAGATTCAAGAAACTCGGTAAACTTCAAGCAAGATAAATACAAAGAAAACATCAGAATCAAGCTGCCAAAAACCAGAGAGAAAATCTTGAAAGCATCAGAGAGAAACAGTGTATCACATACGTGAAACAACTATTTGAACAGCACTTACTTCTTAATCATAAACACCAGAGGCCAGGAAACAGTGGAACAACATCTTTAAAGAGACTTTTAAATACCATAACCCACAACTCTATCCAGGGAAAACATCTTTTGAGAATGAAGACAAAATCCACTCTCAGAATCAAAACTTGTTTCCAGCCGCTCTGAAGAGCAGCGTGATTTCTAAAGGAGGTGCTTCTGTCTGGAGGGAAATGATGCCAGATGGAGACTGAGGTCTTCAGGAAAGAACGAAGCACATCTTGGTAAACAAGTGGGTTTATATTTATACAAAATGCAGGGGTGGGAGTCCCATGACATCTCCATATAGCTCACCTGTGCGGCTGATATAAAACCCAGATGGATGCTGGAAAACAGTAGATGGTTGGCAACTTAATAAGGCGGTAAATTAGCTAGTGGTTCTGGATGAGATCTATTTACGGGAAGGAAACCAGCATAGTATTTGCTGGGTCAAAACCAGGTGCCCGGCCCCCAGCCCTTCCTGTGATGAGTGAAGCAGTGGCCCTTCTCAGGGCCTGGACAGCACTATGCCTGTGTATCTTGTCCCTGGGGGTGTCAGTTCTGCAGCCTGCCACCCTGCAGAAAGAAAGAAGGCCATCATTTTGACAGCCCATGGTATATCTCACTGGTTTGTTACAGTGATGACACCCCTTAGCAAGACAGGTTCACAAGCGTGTGGGCCTAGAACACCCCAAAGCTTAGGGTTTTCCAGGTGAGTAAGTCTCCCAGGGCCCCAGTGGTCCAGGGTGCAGGACTGTCCCCGCTGCAGCTGCCGTCTCACAGAGCCTTCCAGGAAGAAGGACGCTGTGCTGGATGCCTTCAGTCTCCCCATTGAAATGCACCCGTCTTCACCCTGCTCCCCACTGGGGAGGCTAAGTCTGTCTGAGCCACCTCTAGGGCTTCTTGGCCCTCTGGTGTCCAGCTGAGTTCATCCATGGGACAGCCCCAGCAGGAGGTCTGAGGAAGGGAGGGAGATGAGGACCTTGGTAGTTGACCTCTTCAGCGGATTCACGTCCTGGAGTGACTCTCTACAAGTGCCAGCAGCTACATCCACAGTGTGTAGACCGACAGTTCTCCATGACTGCAGGAGGTGGCACTCTCAACTTGAACAGTTAATTAATGGGCTATTTATAGCGTGGGAGTGTGAGGAGGGTAGAAGTTGTGGTGGCCTGGGACGAGCAGAGCCCTTGGCTGATATGCCATGTGTATGCTCCACTGGATCCACTTCCCATATCTTCTTATGATGCAGTGTGGTGGGCACTGCATGCAAACAGGACGCATGTGAAGCCTACATATGGAATATTCATTAAGTGTCTATGGAAGGCACAGACATGGCACCTGTGGACGCATTATGCAAATACACGTGGTATATGCTTGGAACTTTGTGAAAGGTGGACGTGTTAGAGAAAAGGGATGCGGATGGGAAGCGCAGAGGCGAAAGCCACATACCATCTACATATGTTAGACTAACTGGCGTGCAGAGATCTCCTGCATCCCCACAGCACACACACTTGGTGTAGGATGCTGGTAGGCGTGGAGAGCACTCAGGACACTTGATCTGTGCGCCACATGTGTGCCCAGGCTGAGGGGGCCGCACACATCGTATCTCAACAGTACTGTTTAGTTCCTAAGTCGCATCCAACTCTTTGTGACCCCATGGACTGTAGCCCACCAGGCTCCTCTGTCCATGGGATTTCCCAGGCAAGAATGCTTAAGTGGGTTGCCTTTTCCTCCTTCAGGGGGTCCTCCTGACCCAGGGATGGAACCCACATCCCCTACATTGGCAGGCGGATTCTTTACTACTGAGCCACCAGGGAAGCTCTCAATAGCATTCATGCTATCTACAGATCACGGTACAAGAGACGCAGCGGAGGGCTTACAAAATGCACATCTGCCACGAGTGAGGAACGGTGGCCTCTCCTTCCCAAGAAGAAATCATAGTTAACATACAGAAACCTGCTACATTTCTATATGCTAACAATAAAAGATGAGAAAGAGAAATTGAGGACATAATCCCATTTTTTATTTAATTTTTAAAAATTGGAATATGATCGCTTTACAATGCTGTGTTAGTTTCTGCTAACAGTGCAATGAAGTGAATTATCTATGCGTGTATACACAGCCCCACCCACCCACCCACCCCCACAGGCCACCGTGGAGCACTGGGCTGGGCTTCCTGTGCTAAGCAGCAGGTTCCCGCTAACCTCCTTACACATGGTGGTGTGTATGTTCAGTCCTAACCCCTCATTCAGCCCACCCCCCCTCCCCACCCTCCCCTTGCCCTATGTCCGCATGTCCATTCTCTGTGTCTGTGTTTCTATGCCTGTCCTGGAAATAGGTTCATCTGTACCATTTTCTAGATTCTACATGTATGCATTGTTTTTCAGTTGCTCAGTTGTGTCCAACTCTTTACGACCTCATGGACTGCAGTGCACCAGGCTTCCCTGTCCTTTACTCTCTCCTGGAGTTTGCTCAAACTCATGTCCATTGAGTCGGTGATACTATCCAACCACCTTATCCTCTGCTGTCCCCTTCTCCTTTTACCTTCAATCTTTCCCAGCATCAGGAGATTTTCTAGTGAGCTAACTCTTTGTGTCAGGTGGCCAAAGTATTGGAGCTTTAGCATCAGGCCTTCTGATGAATATTCGGGATTTATTTCCTTTAGGATTGTGATCTCCTTGCTGTCCAAGGGACTCTCAAGACTCTTCTCCAGCACCACAATGTGAAAGCATCAATATGCGTTAATACAAAATTTGTTTTTCTGACTGACTTATTCCTCTCTTCAGATAATTTCTATTGATATGCCTGTGATTTTCTTCTTGCTGTGTCCTCGTCTGACCTTTCTGGTCCAACTCCAATGTTGTCCTGCCATTCCTCCTCTTTCATAAAGGCCGTGGGGTCTCTGAGGGGGTCGGATCTCTGTGCTGCCTCAATGGGACTGAGGGCCAGAGAGGGTAGGAGTTTGTGATGTCACCTCTGCAGTGAAAGTGTGACTCCTGGTCAGGCAGGACGTGGCACAAGTTCATGGCAGGGGAGACGCAGGCAGGCTGAATGTAAGTGATGAATCCCTGGTGGAGAGGTGTGGGCTAGAGCAGTCAGGGTAGGCTTCCTGAAGGAGGCAGTGGGAGGGAGCAGGTCCCTACTGAGTCCCAGGCCCTGCTCTTTGGTCTCAGCAGATCTGCACAACCACCTACCTCAAAGTTATTATCCTGTGTAACAGGTGAGGACACCCAGGCTGGGAGAGGTGGTCTGCAGCCCATGGTAATACACCTGGGTTAAATGACCATGAGCACGTGGCTCAGGGGAGCACCAGGGAAACCCTTCTTGGTGGGGCAGGATTGGAGATGTTGGAAGGCCATGTTCATCCTCCAAGTTTGTAGTCCACATACCTCCTGTGATCCTGGTTTTTTTCCCCCGGGCAGTGTTAGTCCCGGAACTTGAACTAGCCTTAGTTTCCTCCTGCCATATTGTGGCAACCCTGCCCGGGCTCTGACATGATCACTGTGCAGCTGAGTGACCCTGGAATTTCACCTTTCCAGCACCACCATGCTCAGTTGAACCTGAGGGAATGCAGGCTCAGCTTTGCATAGCTCATGCAGGGAATCCACAGAGGGGTGTTCTGTGGAGCTGCGCGAAGAGTTTCAGAGGCACCCACACATGTGGGGTCTTTCAGGATTGTGTCCCCTCGACTCTGACAAGGCCACATTCACACAGTGGCACGGATTTACTGTCCTTTGTTAAAGAGGTATTTTGTGTGCTTGGTGTTTCTCTAGGTGTGGGGATACTGCAGGGAACAAAGGAGGCAAACATCTTTGCCCCAGTGGTGTTTATGCTCCACTCAGCAGGGACCTTTAGGTTCAAGACCTCTGCTTTTAAGCCTCATTTGCTGAAAACTCTGGGTTTAAATCCCAATTCTGAAGAAATCAAGTTACCCAGCTATTAAATAACTTTTCCTGCCAGTGGTGTCAGATGCATTGTGTCTGCATTGTCTGTTTTACAGGGTCAGCACAAGGTTAGAAAGAGCTGGTGTATGATGGGGGTCGCACAGACCAGCTAGTTGATTGGCTTCCTGAGCTGGGCACGAGGGAGCCTGGGCAGGAGGCCCGGGCTTCTCCAGACCATGCTGAGCTTCCTGGCACCACCCTTGAGGCTGTGGAAACTGGGGTTCTTTCTCCCCCCTTACCAGCACATGCAGAAACGACTCAAGTAGATCCACCGTCCCCTTCCGCCCTGTGCACCCCTCTTACCTTCCAAGGTGTCCCCGCCTCCCTGGGTGGCCCCACTGCTCCCAGTGGGGGAGGCGCAAGGATTCACACTTCCCGGCTTTCCACCCACCTGTCCGCCTAACCGGGCCATAGGCCCAGCGTTTATTTGAGAATACAACTACGGTGGTCAACAGTAACAACAAGAAAACCCAGTTAGCATTCTTTGACTGTTTGCTCTTAGGGATGATACACAATGAGCGTATTTCATTTTTATCCCTTGGGCTGGCTACGTCTGCAGCTCTCTGCAAAATCGAATGAGTGAATATGCTGCTTTTGTTTGGAAAGCCTTTGTGTTACTCTAAGAACAGTAAAATGACTCCCAAACTCCTCCTCCGACTGCCCTAAATTAAGTGCTCCAAACTTGGAGGAACATTTCTTCATTGATTCTTGCCTGTTCTTCCCACCACCCCACCTCAGGTTACGCCCCAACTGCAATGCCCACACATCCACCCCACCCCACCCCACACCACCTTGACTTGAGGAGACCCTGCCTCACTGCCTCCCCGTTTTCTCATCTCCTCCCGCAGGTTACGGGCATGCTGCTCCCGGCACGGACGCGGGCAAGGCCTTCTGCATGTTCTACGCGGTGCTGGGCATCCCGCTGACGCTGGTCATGTTCCAGAGCCTGGGCGAGCGGATGAACACGTTTGTGCGCTACCTGCTGAAGCGCATCAAGAGGTGCTGCGGCCTGCGCAACACGGAGGTGTCCATGGAGAACATGGTGACCGTGGGCTTCTTTTCCTGCATGGGGACGCTGTGCATCGGCGCGGCCGCCTTCTCCCAGTGCGAGGAGTGGAGCTTCTTCCACGCCTACTACTACTGCTTCATCACGTTGACTACCATTGGGTTCGGGGACTACGTGGCCCTGCAGACCAAGGGCGCCCTGCAAAAGAAGCCGCTCTACGTGGCCTTTAGCTTTATGTATATCCTGGTGGGGCTGACAGTCATCGGGGCCTTCCTCAACCTGGTGGTCCTCAGGTTCCTGACCATGAACAGCGAGGACGAGCGGCGGGACGCCGAGGAGCGGGCGTCCCTGGCCGGCAACCGCAGCAGCATGGTCATCCACATCCCCGAGGAGGCGCGGCAGGGCCGGCCCCGGTACAAGGCAGACGCGGCGGACCTGCAGTCCGTGTGCTCCTGCACCTGCTACCGCCCGCAGGAGTACGGTGGCCGCTCGGCGGCACATCAGAACTCCTTCAGCGCCAAGCTCGCCCCCCAGTACTTCCACTCCATCTCTTACAAGATCGAGGAGATCTCGCCAAGCACATTAAAAAACAGCCTCTTTCCGTCCCCTATCAGCTCCATCTCCCCCGGGTTACACAGCTTTACCGACAACCACAGGCTAATGAGACGACGGAAGTCCATCTAGGTCTGGGGCGGGGAATACAAGCCCGAGTCTTGTGTCCTCTTTGACGTTCAGTCTCATGGGCCCAACTTGTCTTATTTATTATGATTATCCTTTATGATTATGATTATCGTCATCATTTTTTTTTTCCTTTCTCTCCTTCCTTCCTCTCTTGGTTTCATTTCTTCCCCACCTTTCCAGCGAGACAGAGCAGGCCAAAGGGAAAAGAAAGCCCGTCTTCCTCTGAAACTCGCATCTGAGCATGAAGCATGGATTTTGTCCTTCTTCCCAGCAAAGTATGCCTTACATTTCTCCCCAGCCTGCCCCGTATCTCGGGGTGGGGAGGGGTGGCTTTCCCAGGACAGGTGTGAGACCCAGACAAGGAGACAGCCCAGAGGATACCGACCCAAAGTTGCACACCCCACTGAGTGACAGTGGCGTCTCTGACCCAGCTCCTCTCTCCTCCCAAGCAGCGGGTGGCCGTACGTGTGTGGTCTGAGTGTGTGCGAGTGAGGGCACACCCCAGTGTGCGTCTGTGTGTGTACGTGTGACGAGATGGAAGGTGCCAGGTGTTCATCTTTCTTTTCCATCACACAGTTCTGTTAATAGCCCGCTTTTGGCTGCTTCCAAACAAAAAGGGGAAAACAAAACCCAGGAGGTTCTTGATTTATCATCTTGCCGAATCAAGCATGTTCCATAAGCAGCCTTTATCCCAGGCGTGTCATGATCCCATTTTTTAACTGCTAGGTTCTAAATTCTATTAACTTCTTTTTAGGGGGTGGGTGGGCAAGCCGTCATGGATCATTGTATCTTGCCAGTTCAAAAATTTTTTAAACAAGCATGCACTTTGTTAAACTGGTATGCGTTAACAACACAAGAAAACAAAAAACTAGCAATGGAATAATCAAAAGCCAATAATATTAATTTATTAGAGACATTTTTAATTTTGCCATCTCTAGTTCCAACAATTTTCCATGTAACTGGAAGTGTCAGGGTAAGCTGGAAAATTGTTGCAACTGCGGAGTATCTATTTTTTCTCTCTTATTTATGTGACAATGTGGATGATGTGTGCAGCGTCTACCTATATGAGTGAGAATTATAGTCTGGGATGCTTCAATGAGAATGGGTGTTAGTAAGTGGTTGTGGTTTCTTTTCCTAATGAACAATGACAGGGCATTCCTCATTTTAAAGAATATATATAATGTATTTTAAAGCGTGTCTCCCACCACATTTGGTTTGTAAACAAGGGAATGTTGATGTTGGTCTCAGGAAAAGTTTGGAGGCAAGGAGCTGCGTCTTGGCCTGCTGGGAACCTGTCAATCTCAGGGGATGACTTTTTCTGAGTAATGGAGAAATTCCTCCCCACTCTCAATAGGGGATGACCCCCAAAGTGAAGGCCTCCTTATCTCCTGGGGGCCAGTTGGGCTGTAGAACGTGGCACCTTGAAGGCCCTTCCCACGCAGGAATAAAGGAAAGTGTGACCTCCAGATTCATGGAGGGGACCTTCATTCCCCCGTCACTGTCTCTGCCACCTCTAAAAAATCAGCCATCCTCATTCCCCTTTTTCAAAAACTGGAAGTTCACGGCTCTGGGATGGAGATGGGCTTTGGCTGGGCCACTCAGAAGGGGAAGTGGGAGCTCCAGTGTGGTCTCCCAGAATGGAGGGTCTGCTGCCTAGGAAGATCAGACCTCCAAGATTTCCTGAGAGACGGCCCCAGTGGGCCCACCTCAAGTGTTTGGGCCATTGGACTGAACACAGCCCTCGAGATTTCCCTGGAAAGGCAAGCACTTTAATCCCTTTGTCTGGGACACAGGGTCTGCGGAAGGAGTCTGGGAACCTGATTCTCTAGACTAAAATGCACAGTTACCAACCTTCAAGGCCGTATTGATTCACTCATTTTTAAGATTAAAAGAAAAAATTGAGGTCTCTAAAATCTGTCTAGAGAATAGAAGCTGTTGCTCTTTAAATTGTTTCTCTCTTGAAAGAGCTCGTTGGCTCTAGGGCATCACAGGAGCAAGAGTACCCGTGCGTATTTGCAGATTGTTTCATGCTCTGGGGGAAGGTGCTTGGAGTAAGTGTGGGTTTCTCATGAAAACCTTTGTAAGACTTGCCCTCGAATGGGTGTGTGATAATCTTTATCTGTAAAGCAACAGAGAAGGTAAGTGATTTGCTCAGTGTCGGAAAACTAGCCTTGACTAGAACGAGACTTTAGTTTCAGTCTGGACCCCCAAGAGGGTCCAAGAAACTGACTCCACCATACCATGACACCCTCATTCAGCCCTCGGGTGAGGGAACCTGCTTCTCTTTCTCCGCACGTAAATACACCAGGTTCTTAAAGTCAGAGGAACATGGGCTCAACCCTTCACTCAGGACTATTGCCCCCACCAGGGTACAGTGGTCATAAAGGGAACTGCTTCTGCTTGAATGCTTCCAAATGATAGGGAGCTCCTCCCTTTGCAAGAAAGTTTGGAAAACATCCCATAATCTCTGTTTCCATAGAACTGACTCTTCTTTGTAGGATTAAGGATGGTAGGGTGAAGTCTTTTATGTTGCATGACCACCAACTTAAGTGTCTGAACCAACCTGAAATCTCTCTTAGTTCTGTATCCCTCCCCCTGCCCCCCACCCTTTGCTACCTGCGTGGCCCCCTGAAGGCCACTTACCAAGCCTTCGCCTCTGAAGTCAGACATCCTTGCTTATACTCAGAGTGTTCAGGGGTGGAGGTGAGCCTTGGTTGGCCTCCCTTGTGATGTCCATCTTTTTCTCAGATGGTCCAGCTCTTCCCTGCCATGCTTTCTGGCCAAGGAGTCCTCCAGATGCATACAATGAGGTGTTCTGATGGGGATGCTGAGTCAGGGGTTCTCCAGGATTCTCTTCTTGATAAACCTGGCCCGGGGCCTCTCTACCCAGAGCATGGCCCTCCTGATCAGCACTGGAGTCCTCAAAAGCCAGAGGGACGCTTCATCTGAGTCACATCACTGAGGTCCAGAAAGGCTCCGGGCACAAATCTGAGGCCCCACAGCCAGAACCTCGGTCTTCCCACTTGCTTCTCCTCCTGCTGCTTTCCTGGCTGCTTTGTTAAGGCTGTTACTCACGCGCTCCCAATAGTCCCTGTTGCTGGACTTCTTAGCATCTCAGACCCAAGCCTTTCCACCTCTCATATCTGGTGACTTCCTTCTTTCAGCCCAGGTTTCCCACACTCTTCTTCCGGTTGACCACGCCCACTCAGGGAGTGGGAAGAAGTCTCAACAGGTTGTTTGGATTTGGGCTTCAACTTGTGTTAAAGCGAGCTGAGGAAGAGCCACATTCTACCAGAATCACAGGAAATAGGCCTGCCACCCAGTCCCTGATGGGGTCTAGATATCAACACACCACGTAGATACTTAGATGTTTTGGATTCTTGCTTGAATGCTTTCTCACTAGGAGATCTCAATCCATCCCCTCCGTCAAAGACCAAAGGAAGCTAGGCAATGGTATTGATTATCCTAGCAGCTCTGGGCACCATGCTTTCTAGAGACCATTCCATTTTAATCTTTATGACATCCATCCTGGGTGGATGGTGCTGTCACACTGCCCTGCTAGTCTCTTTACATAGGAGTGAACCAGTCTGTTTGGGTTTTGAGGTACCTAGTCAGCACCAGGGCTGAGATCAGAGTTCTTTCCTTCCACACTCCATCCTGAAACTCAGGCAGCAGCCCGGGAAATACAGCTCTAAATTAAAACACACTCTCTGAAGCATCTGTTGTATTACTCTTGTGCATCGCCCATTGGGGAGAAGGGTACCAGCACTTTGGAATGATCACAGCAGATCACTTGCAGCCTGAGAATCCCCCCTGGGTCCCTAATCCTTGCAGGAAAAGAAGCAGATGGATGTAGACTGCTGCCCAGGATGCCTGCCTTTGCAGGTGCTCACTAAAACCCATCCATATAAAAGGGCAAGTTGACTGCTTAATCTTGGCTTACCACTGGGTCTCTGCACATGGGGCCTCAATTGGGAGACTGGATGATGACTTGGAAACCTGCAGATAAGCCCAGGCAGGTCATTCTTCTCTGCCTCCAGATCCAAAACCCTTGTGGATCCTGATTCCTGATCACTAGCAGCTCAAAGTTAGAGGGAAGAATGGTTTAAAGGCATTCATTGTACACATTATGTGAGAGAGAGAGAGAAAAAAAGAGAGGTGAAAATGATTATAGGAGGAAAACCATCTATCACTGAGGTTTCTGGTCCTATGTCTTTAGGTGATCTTTTTCTTTTTTTCGTAGAATAGGTCCTAATTAGGGTACCCTAGTTAAGGGCATCTATGGAGGTGTGGGTTTGAGGCCGGTGCCAGACCATGTCCCTCCTCTTGATGGGATGGACCACATCATCTGTCAAACATGGCAGGGAATCGTGTCTGTACTCTGAAGGGTGGGACTTGGGGCCTGCTGCCTGGGGATGCTAAAGACTGATTTTTACAGAGCCACAGTATGTGTGGGAACCAGGAGCATCCCAGGCAGGAAAAGGTTGGGAGGACAACCTGGCTCTCACCTCTGTGTCTCTGGGCTCCTGGAAGTCCTGTCCCCTCCCTGGGCCTTGGTGGTGTCCCATCCACACAGTGGGCCAGCTTGGGTGGAATTTGTGAGCCTTTAGCGCAGAATCAGTTTGACGAGAGACATTGGCCTGATGTTCTGGTCACTGGGCAGATTTGAGCCACAAGAATGAAAATCCCAAATCATTTGTTTGGCAGCATCCTAGGAGCTGGGAAGATGGGGAAGGAATAGGCAGAGGCATTGAGAACAGTGGTCATCGTGAACGCCAAGAACCTGTGTGGGCTGGGTTCCTCCATGCCCTGGGCGTACATCTATTTTATGTGGTGGTTATGTGAGCACACCTTAATAGAGGTTGCTGTTTCAGGGTGGGGTGGGAAACATCTATTACCATGATTCCTCCCCGCCCCCCACCCCCCCCCCCACTGCATCCAACTTTCGGTAATGAAAAGCCAGATTCACAGAAAAACTGGAAGACCAGAAAGATGAAATTCCGTACCCCTTTCACACAGACTCACCAGCCTTCACTACTTCGCCATATTTGCTTAATCCCCTCCCACCCTCCACATCACCCCCTTCATACCCAGAGATACTGGGAGGAGGAAGTGGCCTCTCTAACTTCTAGGTGGTTGGGCCAAAGGAAAAACTGTTTCTATCACAGCAACAAGAGCGTTCTCTTTGGTAACAGTGCTGTAATCACCACTAAGAAGTTTAGCGTTTGTACAATAAAATTATCTAAAAGGCAACCCATATTCACATTTCCTACTTTGTCCCAAAATTGTCCTCCAGGGCTTTTATGTGAATCTGACAATCCAAGGTTGCATCTCACATTGTTTGTCTGCTTGCGCCAGACCCCTCCAATCTAGGACACTTTTCTCCTCTGTTTTGGTTTGTCATGATGTTGCTGGTTTGGAGTCTGGGGCTGTGGGCTGGCCCACAACCTGACTCTGTTTCCTTAGGTTAAAGAATTTTAGGCAAGAGAACCATGTAATTGATGTTGTAATGGTGAATGCAATTGCGGAGTCTGGCTCCCTGGAGACCTGTGGTTGCCTCTTGCGTTGTAGATAAACAAGGCACGTTAAATGCCGTTCTCCTCTCTGGGAGACGCTAACTGAAGCCGCAGGAGAGGTGTCCAGGAGCCCCTGGATGCTGGGTCTCGTCACCAAAGCCGAATCAGGCTCTGCTATTTCTAACTTCTCACATAGATCTCTTTTCTGTGCTGAGAGTCAGCAATCATTCCCCTAAACACCTGT